CTTGGTCGGCCCCGCGCGGAGAGCCGATCCCCCGCGACTGCCCGCCGAGTCCGGTCTGCTTCCTCCTCCTCCTCCTGCTCCTCCTCCAACGCCTCCTCCAACTCCTCCTCCTCCCGCTCCTCATCCTCACTACCCTCATCATCATCCTCATCCTCATCCTCATCCACATCCTCATCCTCATCATCCACATTGTCCTCCTCCTCCTCATCATCACCATCATCAGCAATATCATCAGCAGCATCATCATCATCCCCCCCCTCATCCTCACTACCCACATGGTCATCCTCATCCCCATCCCCATCCCCATCCTCATCATCCTCATTATCACAATCATCCTCATATTCATCCTCATCATCATGTTCATCATCACCATCATCATCATCAGCATCAGCAGCAGCATCGTCATCATTATCATCCCCAACCCCACCTTAACCACCGCCAGCATCATCACCATCATCAGCATCACGATCATCAGCATCAACATCATCACATCAACATCAACATCATCATCATCATTATCATACTCATCATCACCATAATAGTTCCAACACCATCATCATCCGCATCATCACCTTTACCAGCAACAGCATCAACATCATCATTATTATCATCATCATTTGCAGCATCATCATCATCATCAGCAGCATGGTCACCATCATCCTGAGCATCCTCATCATCAATGTCATCATCATCGTCATCATCGTCATCGTCGTCGTCGTCGCCGTCATCGTCATCGTCGTCATCGTCGTGGTCATTGTCAGCGTCGTCGTCGTCATCGTCATCGTCATTGTCGTCATCATCGCCCTCGTCATCGTCATCGTCGTGGTCGTCGTCATCGTCATCGTCATTGTCATCGTCATGGTCGTCGTCGTCGTCATCGCCCTCGTCATCGTCATCATCGTCGTCGTCATTGTCGTCGTCGCCATCGTCATCGTCATCGTCGTCGTCATCGTCGTCGTCGTCGTCCACCTCCTCCTTCTCCTCCTCTTCCTCGCGCGCATCGGACCCAGCGCTCTCCTAGGATCGTTTGGGGCAGAACTTCGAGGAGGCTCCAGCTAGAGTACCCGCGAATCCAGCCCCAAAGGTCAGATTCCCTCCCTCTCCACTCTTCCTCCTCCTCCTCCTCCTGCTCCTCCTCCTTGTGCGTCTCCTCCTCACCCTGCTCGTTATCGATCTCCTCCTCCCTCCCCATCATCCCCCCCCTCTTCCTCCTCCTCCTCCTCCTCCTCCTCCTCCTCCCCCTCCTCCTCCTCCTCCTCCTCCTCCTCCTCTTCCTCCTCCTCCTCTTCCTCCTCCTCCTCTCCTGCTCCTCCTCCTCCTCGTCCTCCTCCTAGTACTCTTCTCCTCCCTCCTCCTCCTCCTCCCTCCTCCTCCTCCTCCTCGTTCTCCTCCTCCTTTTCCTCCTCCTCCCCCTCCTTCTCCTCCTCCTCCTCCTCCTCTTCATGCTCCTGCCTCCTCCTCGTCCTCCTCCTCCCTCCTCCCTCCTGCCGCCTCTCTCCTCCCTCTGCCCTCCTCCATCCCTCCATCCTTCAATCCTCCTCCCTCCCTCGTTCCCTCCCTCCCTCCTGCTCCAGCGCTGGGGGCGACGCGGCAGCGCTGCGTGCGAGGACGACGTGCCCTCCTGGAAACCGGGAGGGAAGGAAGGGGAGGGGCCTTGGCGACGCCGCCCCCGCCCTTCCGTGGAGCCCCAGTCTGGGGCGCGGGGCCTCCAGGAGGGAGGGGAAGGAGGTCTCCTCACCCTCTGCTAAGTGTTAGCTTCAAAGGTCGGGGAAGCGTAAGACTCGGATTCGGGCCTGACGGGGCCGTCAGGGACCTGACGAGAGCCAATCCGACGTGTGACGCGAACTCCCGTTGAACACGTTCCACGAGATCTGGACCGCTCAAATTCAGGATGGGCCCGCCAGAAAACGTCGGCAAACCCGAGTTCCAGCGAACTCGAGTCCTGCGTTTCCCCGAAGAGGGGCCAGTAAGTAATCGAGGCCCGTTCTGGGGCTCGGGTGCTCTGCCAGCCCCGTGCCCTGCGCGAAAATGGGCCAACGAGAGGGGGGAGGGGAGCGGAGGAGAGCCGAAAAAGGGAGGAGCAGGAAGGAGGAAGGGCACGAAGGGGGGAAGGAGGGAAGGAGAGGGTGGAACGAGAGGTCGGAAGGGGGGAGCACCCGTGAGAGCGGAAAACCCGTCTGGGGTGAGCTGGCCCGAAGGCCTTTGACTGTGCACCCACAGCTGAAGCCAAAGCTGGAGCTGAATTGCACAGACGAATGGAAAGGGCCCACCCTGCAGGTTTGCTTGGGAAGGGGGAGGACGAGGAGCAGCGGTGCCATTTGGACGCCCGCTCGGGGCGGCGCGCCCAACCGCTGGCCTGGACTCCACACACTGTGGTTGGTGCGACTTCCCGCCCGCCCCCGCCCGCCACTGGTGAGTGTTCCCGCCTGGAATAACGCGGCATGGGCGTGGGCGCCGCGCTGCTGCCCGCCAGCCCCGAGCTGTCCGAGTTTTGGCTGCAACAGCCGAAGGTGACTGGTCATCTTCGATTCGTTATGAGGCTCACCTTGCCTTGGCGGCGGGGTGGCGGCGGCCCTCCCCCTTCGCTCCCAGCGGCGGCCCTGCGACGTCGCTTACCGCACCCTTCGAGACGGGATCGGTCACCTTCTTGGCTGGCTTGAAATATTGCGAACAGGCAGGTCTGCGAACTCCTACCTGTTGCACAACCTGGAGGGGAAGGGGCGAGGAGAGGGAGAAAGGGAAGAGGGAGGGGAACAAGCAGACGGGGAGAGGTAGAGGAGGAGGAACAAGAGGAGGAAGGGAACAGCGATTCCGCTTGTCTCCAACATGTAACACTTACCTACATACTGTTCGGCGGAGCCTAGGCGCCCCCGAACGGCGTCTGAAAGACCCCAAGAGGCTTCCCAAAGAAACATCTTGACGACGACCACCCTGCTTGGCCCCAAGAGCAACACAAAATGCCAACGAGAGGCGTCCTCTTCCGCCCCTTCCCCTGCCTCCTCCTCTTCCTCCTCCTCTTCCTCCTCCTCCTCCTCTTCCTCCTCCTCTTCCTCCTCCTCCTTTTCCTCCTCCTCCTCCTCCTCCTCCTCTTCCTCCTCGTCCTCCTCCTCCTCCTCCTCCTCCTCCTCCTACTTATCTTCATCATCCTCCTCTCCTTTTTCATGATATCCTCCTCCTCCCCTCCCCTTCCCCATCCTCATATTCCTCCTCCTCCCCGGCGTCGCCACAATGGCTCCAGGCCCACGGCGAAGCAGTAGCGATCAGGCAACATGGGCCGGCGAAGAGCGAAGCGATTGAATACTTTACGGCCGAGTTGGTATTGAAATTTTCGCCCCTACGAAGGGCCACCGCTGCCTCGACAGGGCCCGCCTCCGACGCCTCCTCCCGAGAAGAGGGACAACGGCAGGTGGCGGCAAGCTTGGGGGGGGGCCCTGGCCTGGCATCGGGGGTATATATCGTCGATGGATCGGCGGCGATAGTTTCTCTTCTCGCTCCCAGACAGATGGGGGGCACTCCGGCACCGTTTAAAACCCAGATGTTTCTTAGACGGGGCCAACTGGGTCATCCAAAAGGTGGGTCGTCGACAGAGTGCATGGAACGGCGTTCGGGGAGGGGTTTCCACGATTTCTGGAACGCCGTTCCGCCCAGCGTTCGGAGGAGTTCGTTCGCCTCGAGTCGCGGCCAGCGTTCGCGTCGACACGGAGCCACCTCGAAGCGGGATCAGGCCTCGCGAGTGGAGCCGCATTGTCTGCGGGGGGCAGCCGTGGAACTGCCTATCTGCCATCATTTCCCCGTCGCGTCCTCTGCGCCCCGGTCGACCGCCGCGCCCGTTTTCATGTCGCCGCGGCGGCGCTTTCCCCGTTATCTCTCCTGCGCGCGTGCCCGCGATGGTGTTCCTCCTGGCACCGCTCGCCACGCCGCTCCCCGCCCCTTCCGCCGCCACCTCCCCTTCTCAGTCGCAGTTGCCCCCCCGCTCCCCCCATCCACCCCTTTGTTTTTCCGCTCTGTGCAGCCTGGTCCGCCCAAACGCACACAACACCCACTTCTATGCAGGATATGCCTTATCGCCCGCGACGAAGCCCGCAGCGAGCGAGTTCAAGCGCGACCTGGTTCGTCGCCGCCCCCCCTCCGCGTCCGCAGGCTGCGCGCCAGCGTCGCCCAGCGCCTGACGGACGCTAGTCCACAAAATCTGCCCCCATGCCTCCGTCCCCTTCCTTTCGCTACCTCCTCCCATCCCCGCCACTTCCCCCCCTTTTCCTTGTGTTTTCTCTCTCCTGCCCACGCCCCCATTCCCCTTTGCACTTCTCCCCAGCCCCCCCAAGACCTGCCCTCCTGCCCCCCCCGCGCCGCCCCCCCCCCCGCTCGCCGCCCGCGCCCCTCTGTCCGTGCAGGGCTGATCGGGGGGGCGCGAACGCTGTTCCGAACGCTGTTCCGCGGAGGGGCAATGGAGGCAACACGTGGGTGATCGACGCGGCTCATGGACGGAGGCGCCAAGTGGGTCATCCACCCCGCCCATGGAGCCCCTCTCCGCCCCTGGCCCCAAGTGGGTCGCCCATCCGGCTCATGCGCCCCCCCCGCCCCTGTCGCGCCCGCCCGCCGCCCCGAGACGCCAACTGTGTCATCCATCCGGCTCATGGAACCCCGTTCGCGAACGCTGTTCCGAACGCTGTTCCGCGGAGGCGCAATGGAGGCCCCAAGTGGGTTATCGACCCGGCTCATGGCCGGAGGCGCCAAAGTGGGTCATCCACCCGGCTCATGGAACCCCTGCCCGCGGAACCCCTGGAAAAGGCATATCGCGCCTCGGGGGCGAGGGGCCCCGCGCCCCTGGCCGCACCCGCACCGACCTCCAGCCGCCCTCCCCCCCCTCCTTGTCGCCCCCATCCCAGGCGCCCCCGTCTGCCCGCCAGCACCCCTGCCCCCTGTGCCCATTCCCGCCGACGATCTGGTCAAATCGCCCCCGCGCGGCACTATCGGCGGCGCCCAGAAGTGAGCGCCGTCGC